GCCAAACTGGCTAGGGCTGTCTCTATAACTCTTTTCATTTTGTAAATCTGAAACTCTATACTCATTAAACAATAACTCTCCAAACTTGCCCTAGCCCCTGGCAACCACCATTATGGTTTCTGCCTCCGTGATTTTGACTACTCTAAGTACCTCATGTAAGTGAAATCACCCAGTATTTGTCTTTTTGTGACTGGTTTATTTCACTTAGCATAATGTTCTCAAGGTTCATCCATGTGGTAATATATTGCAGAATTTCTTTCCTTTTTAAGGCTGAATTGTTCATTGTATAATATAACACATTTTACTAAGCCATCCATTGGTCAATGGGCACCTGGGTTGCTCCTGTGTTTTAACTGTTGTGAATCCTGCTGCCATGAACATGGTTGTACAAATACCTCTGTGAGAGCCTGCCTTCAGTTCTGCTGGGCATATACTCAGAAGTGGGATTCCTAGATCACATGGTAACTTCATTTTAAATTTCCTGAGGCCCTGCATTACTGTTTGTTTTCCATAGCAGCTGTACCATTTTCCATCGCCATCAACACTGCCCAAGCATTCCGATTTCTCCACATCTTCACCAGTTCTTGTTTTGCTTTTTTAAAAAATAAAAATATTTTTATTGATTTCAGAGAATAAGGGAGAGGGAGAGAGAAACATCAGTGACGAAAGAGAATCATTGTTTGGCTGCCTCCTGTTGGCCCCACCCTGGGAATGGAGCCCTCAACCCTGGCATGTGCCCTGACCAGAATCAAACTGTGACCTCCTGGTTCCTAGGTCAACGCTCAATCCCTGAGCCCCAGCCGGGCTCGTTTTGCATTTTTGATGGTAGTAATCCCAGTCGGTGTGGCAGCATAGTAAGCCTTTTTGGGGTCAGCAGTATGGTGAATGGATATTGGTGCTAGACCCAATGAGTTTTGGTTCTGCTGCTCATTGTGTGACCCTGGGTGTTACTCTTAAGCCTCAGTTTCCCTATTCATAAAATCAGAATTATCTCAGAGGATTAGTGAGCACTGAATGGAAGAACTCAACAAATGTTATTTTTTCTGCCTTAAAAGCAGCAACCATAAACCCAATCCTGATTTGCTCTGGCTCCTTTTGGACTAGTCTAGAGGCAGAGACAAACTAGATGACTTCTCAAGTTTTTATGCCTAGAGGACTGAGTCTGGAGATTCACACAATCTCAGGCTTTCTCCCTGCTGCCCCCAGACCCGCAGAGCCCCGCCCTGCCCTGCCCGGCGGAGGTGTGCTGGGAGGAAGGCTGCTCAGAGCCTCGCTGGCGTGTTTTCTCAGCGGTGCAGGACCGAGAGAAACCCTGTCGACATAGTTATATAAATCCTGCCACTCAGCCCCCTCCTGTTACCTCTGCAGACCGTTTTACATATTAAAGGGGGGGGGGGAGGCAAATACAAAAGGAAAATCAGCGAGAGAGCGAACAATCCGGACGCTGGAGGGAATCCACGTGGTCATCGGTCTGTAACTGATCAGAGCAGCTACCCTGAGGCAAGACCCCCAGCGCCTCACGCCAAACTATTGCAATGGCGAAACCTTCCACAACAGGGTGCTTCTGTCCCCCTTAGCGGCGTCTGGGGGCTGCCGTTCAAGATTCTCTGCCACGACCCCCACCCTTTTTGCACCTAGTCAACCAGCGACGTAACCAGGGACTCTGGTTCTGTGCGCGCGCTTTGCAAACCATCTGGGCTCCATCCTGCGCGATTGCAACGACGATCGATGCGGGAAGAGTTGGGGGGAGTCGGAGCTGGCCGGTCGCCTGCCCTTTCTCTGCCCCCCACCCCACCGGTCGCTCCGCACGAACATTTCCGTGGTGGAGGGACGCCGGCTTTCAGCACCAGGAGGCCTGGACCTTCTCTGGAGAGCGCGGGGCACCCTCCAGAGGACGCGAGCTGACTGCAACCTGCTCCCCGGCCCTCCCTCTCCTCCCCGAATCCGCCGCCCGGGCTGCAACGTTACAAGCTGTGCGCTGTGCCTGTGCGGGAGTCCAGGGAGGCTGCGTGACCTTCCCGCGAACTCCATCTCAGCTGGGGGGATGGAGGCGGCCCCGGGGCCTGCAGGCTGGGGATCGATCCCCAGCTCAACCTACTCAGGTTCTCGCGGCGCAGACCCCTCCCTCCAGGCTCTGCTTCCCCAGCCTCGCAGGCTTTTAACGCCCAGCTGGAGGCGCCCTCCCCGCTTGCCCGCAATAAGCACACAGGGTGGAGATCCACCCCCGCCCTGACCCCCCCTCTTCCCCCTCTAAGCCCCGCTCCGAGCTCCCCTCCGGCCCAGGGATCAAAATGCCCGGCCCTCCCCCCTCTTAATCAGAAACGTGCTCGCGGGCC